GCCAAAACAGACAGTATGGGTGAGTAAAGTAATTAAATGTATCCCAGCAGGAAATGATTTTAATAGACCCCTAGCAGTGGGAGCAGGACCAGTTTCTGATGGAAGAAACATGGCTGACTCTGGTATGGAGATGGGAAAGAGGGTCAGTTTTGATCCCTTTGATCTTCCAAGTGATGTTAGAACTCTTGCCCGTATTGTGTATTCTGCTCATGGTGGTGAGATAGCTGTCGCTTTTCTACGAGGTGGCGTCCATGTATTCTCAGGTCCAAGCTTCACCCCTGTTGATAACTACCATATTGATGTTGGATCTGCCATTTCTGCTCCTGCCTTCTCTTCAACAAGTTGCTGCTCAGCTTCTGTTTGGCATGATACCAGCAGAGATTGTACAATTTTGAAGATTATTCGAGTTCTTCCTCCTGCTGTTCCAAGTAATCAGGGGAAAGCTAACTCCGCGAATTGGGAACGTGCAATTGCTGAGAGGTACATGTGCTTTTGTGCACTATACTTAAATTTTTGAATCATTTTAATATGCTCAATTAAGACATTTCAATCCGACTGTTATTACATCTAGTTAGAATAGTATTGGTACCTTATAAAAAAAGTTAGATAGTATTTGGTTTATGATATTAAACCGTCTTCCCAGAAATGACATATTTTTCTTTCTATTGGAAGATTTTGGTGGAGTCTTTTGGTTGGAGTTGATTGGTGGGATGCCGTGGGATGCACACAAAGCGCTGCGGAGGATGGTATTGGTAAGAGCTTAATCTGTTGGCAGATTTAGAACTGAACTGCTGAATGGATTTGGAAAGTACTTCAAACTTGATATCGTGATCAAGAGCTAAAATAGAATTTCAGACCTCTGATATCTAACCAGGTTTCAGCGGAGCTCTATGATAGGATTTATGATTGTTCTCTATTTGATGCGTTAATATGAAATCATAAGAAGCCATGAAGAGCTTTGAAATTAAAAATTCCATTCCTGTTTTAATTATTGAGGTCTCTCTCTGCTAATATCCGGGTTCAAGTAACATAATCCCCACCCTTTTGCAATAGATGGTATTCTAAAGAACTGAAATGCCATATCTTCACTTTAAAGTTGCATTCATGTTCCTAGCATAGCTGATAGCAGTAATCTTTTGTCTAATCCATGGTCATTCTGCTGGAAGATCCTTTCTTGTGTTTCATGGAACTGCAAAATGGAAAAAACATAGCATCTTTAGTTTGTTGAAATTCTTGTGTAGTTTGAAGAGTACCATAGGTCCTTACATGCTCTGTTTTCCTCTGTTTCTTCTGCTTTGACTCTGAAATAATTGAAGATGGCTATTCCTCTTCCATGACATCCTCAGTTGTGCCTTTTGTTTTGTCTTCCGAAAGTCCTCCATCTTCACAAAGTCTATTAAAATGAGTAGCTTTAGTAATTCTTATTGGTGTTTGAAGAGATTCTGCTTCAGCCTGATATAATGTCTGACCTGTTCTGCTGCAGGCCTTAGTTAGAGTTTGAGCTTTCACCTGGCCTTGCTTTTTTCTGAATTGAGGATTTGATAATAAATATCAGTTGATCTTTGCCCTTTTTCTGTTTGAGTAATTTTGACTACATGATTCTGGAAGGATCAGGCGCGTGCGTGAAGGATCAGGCAATCACTAATGATGTGTTCTTTTGTTGCAGTTGCTTTGAACAGTGTCATTGCTGTACTGGATGCAGATTTCCATTCCCTTCCTTCAACTCAGCATAGACAGCAGTATGGACCGGTATGTTTCTTTTATTTAAATCTATCTTTAAGCCTATCATTTTCATAATGAGGACATTATCATCCTGGTGTATCAAATTTGACGGAGCCTGGTAATATAGAGCAATTTAGTGCAGACATCGAACACTGGATTTCACGTTCTGCTTTATACTTTTATATGCTTTGCCTCTCTGTATGAGCTTTGCTCTTGCATGATATCATTCTGACTTCCGCTTACTCAGGATGGAGAATTCATATCTTTTTGGGAAGGAGTGGCGTTGGGGGTGTGAATTAGGCTTTAGAGAAGATTTTGGAGCAGTGTATTACACTTAGCTAAAGATAGGGCACAATGGAAGAAAAAGATCCATATATGTGGTATCTTCCGGTTGGAAACAGGTTTTAGGCTTGTAGGAAACTTTTAATATTATTATTATTATTATTATTAATTCTATTATATATGTGCGGTGCGCGCGTGTGTGTGTGTGTAACTTATTTCACTTTTATTTATTTAGTATGATGATATGAGTTGAGCTTAAATGAAGAAGTGAGGATTCACATAGCCTACTGCAAGTCCGCAGCTTGTTTGGGGTTGAAGCATAGTTGTTGTATTGATTAAGTATATAATTTTTTTATATCCTTATCAAAAAATAATTTTTTTATATCATGAGAACGTGCAAACCTCTGTTTGATGTTATTTGCTTATTTTAACATATGATTTACAGCGCTTTCTTGAATGCAATCAGAAAATACAATATATTATATCATGTTTGGATATGCAAAAGACGTGTTTTTTGCTTGTTAAATGAATAGCATGGTCAAATTACTTATACGTTTCTCCTTGTGGAATCCTGTCATGACAAAAATCTTGGACACAGTTTTATATAATGAAAACCTTGATACAAAGTAATTAAATCAATCTGCAGAGGTCTTACTTATCATTAAAGATGTAGGTGCCAAGGAGGTGGGGGGTGGGGGGTCTTCCTCAACCCTTTCCCCCAAACTTATACACCATGTGACAGTATCTGAACAGTGAAACTTTACAAAAATCCAGAAAACTGAAGTGAGATTAAGNTCTGAAGTGAGATTAAGATAATGATTGTATCAATTGAGAAGAGAGGTTATTGTGAGGAGTCAAAACAATGGAGAAATGAGAATGTGAAGTAAGAGAGGAAATGGTTCCTTTAGCAGAAGGCTGACACTGCCTGAAGATGTCTTGTGAGAAATTACTAATTCTTTCTGTGCTTTTGATCCATAAATGTAAAATGAACATCTTAATGAATTTGAATAGAAGGAATTGCATGTTGCATCAAACTTAGTACAGCTCTTGAGGAAGGGCATAGAAATAGTCAAATGTTATGGAATTGTATGTATTAAAATGATCCGTGATAAGAATGGACCTTGGGCCTAACTCAACCCCAAAAGCTAGCTTATGAGATGAGGAGTGCCCAAGCCATATAAGGAGACCAAGGACCTCAAATCCCTCCGATGTGGGACAACTCAACACCCNGCAACTCAACAATCCACAAAACTAGTCTTTCTTTTCTACACCCAATTTCTAGATGCCATTGTTAATGTGTATCTTTTGAAGATGACACAACGAAGTATTGTAGTTCTAGTGAAGTCCTTAAAATCGATATGCAATGCAATTGGTTTTCTATTTCTCTCAACTTAATATTAATCTAGTAGTCTGTCATGTGGAAGATTGTGAGTGTGTATACATGTGGTGTGTGCATTTTTGTCAGATTATGTGATCATCTTTTCCTTTCAGTGAATCCGTGCTCACTTGCATACACGTAGTTCTTGAATTTTAAACCTGTTTGTTTATTTCATCAAAGTTCACTATCAGGGACCCATTCTTGGATTTCTCTGAGTTCTGATAGATCTGGTCCATATAATGCAGAGCCTAGACAGGATAAAATGCAGGCTTCTAGAAGGTACAAATGCTCAAGAAGTCCGGGCAATGGTGCTTGACATGCAAGCAAGATTGTTGCTAGATATGCTTGGCAAGGGGATTGAATCAGCTTTAACAAACCCATCAGCATTGGTTCCAGAGCCATGGCAAGCTTCCAGTGAGACACTGTTTGGCATTGATCCTGAGGCGATGGCCGTTGAACCAGCACTGGTGCCAAGTATCCAGGTATGTCTTAGTGATTGTCATCTTTCTGTATTTGTGACCAAATACTTCTATTTCTTCATTGTGTTTGAGTTTCTCAAATATTGGGATGATTTAATTCAGGCATATGTAGATGCTATACTTGATCTGGCCTCCCATTTCATCACGCGTTTACGACGCTACGCAAGTTTCTGCCGTACATTGGCTAGTCATGCTGTTACTGCTGGTACAGGTGGGAGTAGGAGTATGGTGACTAGTCCAACTCCAAGTGTTACATCTCCTGCGACTTCTCAGGGTTAGTGTAATTTGCTCTATCATGTGCTGTTAAAGGATGTACCTTTCTGGATACAAGAATTCACTTCCTCTCTCTTAGTTAAACCACGGACCTATGCTTTTCAGGTGCTCAGGGTGGTACTGCAAGTTCCACTGGGAACACTCAGATGCAAGCTTGGGTACAAGGAGCTATTGCAAAAATTAGTAGTACGGCCGACAGTGTTCCTAGTTCAGCCCCAAACCCCATCACTGGTCCTTCTACTTTTATGCCCATAAGTATCAACACAGGCACTTTCCCTGGAACTCCAGCTGTTAGGCTTATAGGGGACTGTCATTTTCTGCATCGGCTATGTCAACTTTTGCATTTCTGTTTTTTCTTCCGTGGAACACAATTACCGCGTTTTATGGGGGCTGCTCAAAGGAATGCGGATTCTTCAATGCAAAAGCCTCAACCCAGTATTCCAGGCAAAGCAGAAGATTCCAACTCTGGTGCAAAACCAACACCAGGTGGTCAGGTTGGGACAGGAGCAAAGGGATCCGAAGAAGGTCCATCTAAACGGTCTAGGATAGGTTCTGGCAATGCTGGTCAAGGATACACATATGAGGAGGTAAAGGGTTTTTTCTCAGCAGATTAC